CCAGTCGTCTTTGCATCTGATCCTCTCGTGCAGCTCCGTCACTCCTTGCACTGCGCCCTCCCAGAAGAGGGCCTGGCCGTGGTCCACCAGGGGGTCGCGCTCTGGGCCTCCCGTCGCGGTCTTGCCGGGCGCCTGTAGCTTCAGGGGGAGGTCGGCGAGGAAACCTCCTTCGGGCGGAGGCAGTTGCCGGAAGTCGCCGCTGAAGATCACGTTGATGCCGGCGAAGGGTCTGACGTTGCCGCCGGCGTCGCACTTCCATTGGTTGGCGCTCGGCACGGTGCTACGTGTGCGGGTCTCCACCTGGGCTAGCAGTCGGGCGCTGATCATGCCTACCTCGTCTGCGATGAGCCAGCGCCAGTAAGCCATGCGCCGCGCTGTCTGCGGGCTGCAGGTCGTCTCCAGGCAGTCTCTGTCTTTGCTGAGGCCGCAGGCCGTGTGGAGTGTCTCGCCCTCGCTGTCTGCGGCGTTGGTGGCCTGGAAGGCGGCGAACTGGTAGTCGATGCCCTGCTCGTAGCCGAGGAGCTCCTCGAAGAGCTTGCGCACGTACTTCAGCACGTGGGTCTTGCCGGTGCCTGGACGGCCGTGTAGCAGCCAGACCAGCGGTTCATCACTGCGTCTGAGTGTGTTCTCTGGTGGCACTAGGTTGTACTCCACCAGCACGCGCTCTACGACGAGTTTGAGGAATTCGTGCTGCTCCGCGTTCATCGTGCTTCGCACTTCGTTGCTCTCGCGCCACGCCCAGAGCTGGACGTTGCTGATCTTGGCGGTGCGCTTCGTGGTGGCCCGGCGGCTTCCGGCTAGGCCGGGCGCGTCTGCCGGCGTTTCTGCCTCTCTCTTGTTGCGCGAGGCTTCCGCATCTGCCAGCATGCGTGTGGCGTCGTCGACCCCCGTGCTTGCTTTGGCGTCTTCCAGGAGTTGCTCGGCCATTTCGCGCGGCATGGCGGATGCCGTGGAGGCTTCGCCCAGCCAGACGTTGTGGGAGAGGTTCAGCATTTGCACGGTGAGGTCGTGCTGGGTGCTTGTGGCGGGCGGCTCCTCTGCTTGGTTGGGCGGTGCCTCCTCTTCGGCGCCCGCAGCCCCTTGCTTGCCTGCGTCCCGCACGTGTGTCTTGCTGGCTTCCTGCAGCTCGTCTGCGTCGAAGTTGTAGATTTGGTCCTGGAGATCTTCGTTGTCGCTGTTGGCTGCCAGTTCCATGTCGGGCTGTAGGTCTCGGGGCAGGCTGAACACGACGGCGTAGTTCAGGACGTAGCGCTTCAGCTCCTCGGTGGGGAAGCCCCCGGCGTGCTTCCACGCGCATTGCAGCGCCTGGCGCCAGCTGCTCATGTCCGTCGTGCGGAGGTGGCCGACGTACGGGACGGCTTCGGTGGCCTCGTGTGGGTTGCTGGTACAGGGACAGAAGAGCAGCAGGATCTTCATGATGTGCTCCTCCTCGCTGCGGCTGCCGAGCGCACCGTAGAGGACCGGCACGTGCGGCCGCTTGCGTGGGACGATGACCCAGTCGTGGCGATGCTTCCGCACGCGGTTGCCGTTGCCCAGCGGCATCCATTTTTCCCCGCCGTGTTCTCGGATCAGGTAGTCCGTGCCGCCCTGCAGAAGTCGACGTCCGAGTTTCTTCCCGAGCAACTCCTTGCCTTTGTCCGTCAGCAGGGCGTGGTAGGTGATGTCGTTGTCGGCGGCTGCTTCGCGATCAGCGGCGGCGGCCCCCTCCTGCTGCTTTAGGGACCATGGATACCTGACTGGCTGGATGTGGTAGTACCGCGCGAACTCGAAGGCCGAGAGGGGCTGCACTCTGGGGTCCGTGCCGCGGTTGCCGTAGACTGTCCACAGCTGTGGCTGGGCGACGAGCTTCCTTTTGCTTTTGTTGCCGGGTCTGTCGACCCACCCACTGAGGTCGCTCTGGATCTTTGCGCGCTCTGTCGGCAGCGGCCGGCCGTCGGTGGCGGCTTGCATGAGCTCGAGGCCCATCTGGAGGGACATGTCCGCGAGTGCTGCGGTCTTGATGGTTTCCGCGGCGGTGGGGTCGCTGTGGCCGGCGTTGTCGATGAGGTTGGTGCACTCCCCGGAGCCTCGGACCACGCCCCGGGCGAAGGCGTCCGTCATGAGGCGCTTCGAGGCCCTGGCTCCCACGTAGCCGGCGGAGGAGTTGTCCCGCAGTTCTGTCTCCAGGTCCTTGTGGCTCTTGTTCCACTCTTGGACCTCGTTGACCGCGATGGGGTTCCGCTTGTTCTGGTAGTCGCATGCATAGCCCGCCTGAGCCGCTTGGTTCAGCTGGGCCTGGTAGGTCATCTCCCGCAGGCTGCTCTTCGCCGGGCAGTCTCGCGTGCAGCGGCCGGCGGCGTCGTGCAGGTCCTCGGTGATCGGGAAGCGGTAGGGCAGCTGGACGTCGCCGTTGCAGCGCAGGGCGGCCAGCAGCGGGGGGTGGTTGCCGTTGAGGTTCGGGTCGTTGCAAGGCCCCCAGAGACGGCCGAGGGCGCTGCGCTTGCCCTTGACCGGCATGCCCATCTTTTCTGCGAGTCCCTCGCACACGAGTGTCGTGCTGTCCACCAGCTGCTTCTCGCGAGGGAAGCCTGCCTTGCACTTCGTGGGGTCTTTCTTGGCGCGGCAGTGGTCGAGCGGCAGCCGCGGACCGTTCGTCGTCTTGGGGAGGTGCACGTGATGTTGCTTCAGCTGCTGCAGGGCCTCCACGTCCTCGTCGAGATAGAGCCGTCGCCAGGTCGTGGCGTCCGTGGACGCGTCTGTGCTCTGGTAGTGCGGGCGGCTCAGGGCCAGGTAGGAGGCGCGGTAGGCGGGCCACTGCTCCTCCGTTTCCGGGCGCTTCTTCTCCCAGGTTTGCGGGTCCCGGTAGATGGTGCGGCTGACGTGGGCCGTGTAGGTGCAGTACTTCTGGAAGAGTTCTTGCTTGCGTGCGGGACCCAGGGCCTGCAGCTCCGCGAGGGACTTGAACTGGTGGAAGCACTGGAGGAAGAGCTGCACAGGGGGCGGCGGTGGCTTCGGTGTCGCATGGCCTTTCTTTGGTTGTCTCTCATGACTGTGCCGGCGTGCCTGGAAGTGGACGTGCAGCACCCCGGACTTCTGGCTTTCGATGGACCCGAACGCGGCGTCGATGCGGCCGAAGATCCCGCCGCAGGCCATGGCGTTGCTGCCGAAGGCGTCCGCGCAGGGTGTTTTGGACTTGCTGCAATTCGGGCACTGGGGGCAGTAGCGGACGCCGAAGAGGTGGCGCAGCGCGAGCTGCACGAGGGTGCGGAAGCCGTCGGCGCAGGCCACGGGATCCTTGGTGAGCATGGCCCGGCGAGCGTCGTAGGGCGGCAGCTCGGCGGCGAGGGCTTCTGGGTTGAGGCTGTAGAACTCCACGTCCAGCTCCGGCTTGCTGCGCCCCTGGGCTCCTCGGGTGGTGGTGTCCTCTGGGCCGAGGCTGGGGTCGGACTGCCGGGCGCGGGCCAGGCGCAGCATCACCGTGCTGTCGCGCTCTGAGGGGGAGAAGGTCACGAAGATCGGTGTGCCGTGGCATATCCGATTGGCGTGGGTTTGGAGGCGCATGGTCTTGCGCACCTCGTGCGTGCCCGGGATGTTTCGACTGCGCGCCTCCGTGTTGTCCAGGACCTGGCACCGCTGTCGGGCTTGCTTTGGGCACTCGTTGTAACCTGGCTCTTGGTAGCTTGCCTGCTCCGAGTGTGGCCTTCTACGGCGCGCGTCACGGCACTTGCTTGCTCTCTACGGGGTTTCAGGCGGCGAAGGATGGGAGGCTTGCACTGCGGGTGGGTCCGTGCTTTATAGGATTTTCTTTGCACGAGCTTCGAGCCTTCAGGGCTGCTTCTGAGAGCCCTGGGACGAAGCGTAGTTTGGTGAGGTCTCCGTTGATGGGCTTCAGCTGGTTGTTGATGTCGAGGTACTGGCCTCTGAGGAGCTTTTGCTGGATCTGCTTTTGCCCCTCCAGGATCTCCTTGGTGGTCAGGGCCCTGCTCTCGTGGTTCTCGTCGGCGACGCTGTAGATGAAGGCGTTCCCCTGGGTGTTCACCATGGTCCTGAAGAGGTAGTTCCAGAGGGTGAAGCCGAAGCTCCAGTCTCGCCTGAATTGGGTTTCTGCCCGGCGCTGCATGGCTGTTGCCCATTCGAAGATCTGCACTTGGGGGGCCTCCGGGTTCTTGTCTCGGCGGCGTCCTTGCGCTGACGCCCGGTTGCTTGCTGTGCTGTTGCTGTTCTGGACGTCCGGACAGGCGGTGCCGTGGGCGAAGCAGAAGCTGAAGGCCGTGGCGAAGTAGAGCGGCTGGAACTGGTCCACCAAGATGTTGCCGGTGCGCACCTCCATGGTCTCGAGGACCTTCTCGTTCTCTTCGTTGCTGCGGAGCTGGGTTTGGAGGTCGTTGAGTGCGGCCGTGGCCACGGCGTTCTGGTCCTCGCGGTCCGTGCTGCAGCCTTCCGGCACGACGGCCCGGGCTCGCTGGTCGGCGAAGATGGCGCCGGCCCGCTGCATGTCCTGCTCCGGCGCGTCCGTCGGGGCGGCGGCCTTCTGCGGCTGCAGCTTGTGGGCGGTCTCGTCGTCCTCGCTCAGGCCGGAAATGATCTTGAGTACTTCCGGCGGCACGCCGCCCTCTGGCAGCTGTGATGCTGCCTCCCGCACATCCGCCATGCGCAGGTGCTGGAACGCGGGATGCCCGAGGCGCTGCATGTCGTGGATGAGGTTCACGACTACGTCTCTCCGCACGGTGGCCTGGTGGAGCAGCGTCTTGATCTCGGTCTCGCTCGTCTTGCCCGTTTTGTTCGTCTTGAGGAGCACCCTCGCGACCTCGGCGAGCGCCTTGCCTGTGCGCGGCAGGCTGGGGGGTGCTGCCGCTCCCGCTTGGTCCTGCTCCGCAACTTCTGCGTGGTGTGCCTCTAGGTTGCGCAGGAGGTCTTCCCATGGGAGGGGAAAGGTGAGGGCGTTGCCGCGCGCGCCCAGGCGGTGACGGGCGTTCTGGGCTTTTTCGTCTAAGGTGGTCCCTTCGCTGCGGTGCCGCGCTTCCATGGACATGCACACCAGGGTCGTCACGCAGGGGCTTGCGCAGATCATTTCCATCACTGTGACCTTCTCTGCGTGCAGGCGCGCCGGGGAGTAGCCTGTCCACATGTCATTGCACAAGCTCAGGGGCGGCAGCTGGCCGTTGTCCAAGTGTTGCGCGCAGTCGCGGCAGAGGGGCACCTCGCAGTGCTCGCAGAGCGTGTGCTGGCTTGGGTGCTGGGGATTGGCGTGGCAGCGGTGGTCTTCTGGGCAGCAGAGTATGTCGCCGAGCCCGGGGATGGTCACGGTCCACTCGTTCAGCTCGGCCACGTCGGTGAGCTTGACGTCCCCGGCCAGGTCGTCGTAGAGCCCCAGGTACTTGTCGATGCTCAGGATGTCGTGCAGACGTTCGGTTGTCTCGGCGTGGGTCCTGTCGTTGCTGGGGGGACCCTGGATGAGCCTGCGCCAGCGGATGGGGCCCGCGGCCTCGGCGTCGGCCACGCGTGTGTGGATGCATGCGCAGCAGAAGCAAATGATCGCTTCCACCCTGTCTTTGCTGGTGGCTTCGGCGAAGCTCCGCAGCGCGCTTCTGTCCCGCGAGCTTCCTGCCACGGGTGCGGCCTCTCTGCACCGCAGGGCTATGGCTTCGTTGTAGACGCTGGCCAGTGCATCGGCCGGGATTGGCTTGGGTAGGTGCTGTGCGACGCTCTGCAGTGCTGTTGCGTGCTCTTGCTGGACGTGCTCTCGAAGCTCTTGCTCGGTGCCCGTAAGCAATGACCAGTTGCAGCTCTGGAAGGCGCAGAACTGTCCTGGCCAGGGTTCCCCACGGTCGAGGTCTTCGGGCCTGGCTCCGGGCGGTATCAGCGGCTGGGCTCGCAGCTGGGTGTGTGCGAGGTGCCGGAGAGCCTCTTCCAGTTTCCGCCGGGGGTGGCTGCTGTCCGGCGCCACGGGCATGCTGGTGAGCTCTTCCAGGAGGTTGGGCTCGTCCTGTGCCTCTGGCTCGGGCGGTCGTGTCGCCGGCTTCGACGGCGTCTTGCGCGCCTGGGCCTGTTGATGGGCCTCCTCTCCGCCGGCGGCGGTTCTTCTGCGCTTGGCTGGGCGCGGAATCGGGTGGGGTGGTGGTGGTGGTGGTGGTGGTGGTGGCAGTGGTGGTGCTGGTGGCGGTGCTCGGTCTATGGGCACCAGCAGGTCGTAGTGGTCCCTGCCGTTGTACCAGAGATGGATCACTTCCGTGGCGTTCGGTGCTGCGTGCGGCCCGCGTTGGGCTGCTTCGTCCACGTCCGAGTGCGTGCGCTCGCTCGTGAGGATGTCGCCGTTTGGCGTCCGCCAGTGCAAAAGGACTCGCTGCTGCCTCATGCGGGTGAAAGCGATGATGGCCGTGTCGCCGCCCCAGTGACCCGGATCGCTTTGGAGGTATTGGCTTTCCTGTAGCCAGGCCTGCACTTGCTCTTCGTCTTCTTCGGCTTCTGCGTTCTCTCTGAGGTACTGGATGATTAGGGCTCGGAGGCATGCCCCGCTCTCGCCGGTGTTCTCTCCGAGCGCGTGGAAGAGGCAGTTGCCGTCGCCTGACATCTTCTTGATGGCCAGCGTGCCCCGAAAGTGCTCCTCTCGGGTGCATTGTCTGCTTGCCTAAAGAGCGCTCTTGAGAGTGGATGCTCGAGGGAAAACGCCGGCCTCGACGCTGGGTCCGGGCTCCGTGTCGTGGTCGGAGCCCGCCTCGGCCCCCCCTCGTCGCGCGGCCGGTCCTTCGTGAGATGGTTCAGCGGCATTCCTTGCGAGCTTTGCCGCTTCCACGGCTTCGTTTCTTGGCGGTGTTGCCTCGGCGGCTCTGTCGGCCTGTGCACACAGTGGGACTAGACGCTTGCCGGGGGAGGTGTTGTGCGCCTTTGGGGTGTAGCTTCTCTCCGGTGCCTCTGCTCGCTGGAAAGCACGATCCAGGGCTCTCTCGTCGTCGGCCGTCCATCGTGGCTGGCGCGGCAGTGGCTTTTTGGGGGCCTGCAGGTCACGATGCCGCGTACGGCTTGCTTTCTTTTTTCTATGGCTTTTCTCGTGGCACAAGTCCTTACTTGCATTCCGGCCGTGATGCCTTCTTCCGTCGGGGTGTTCTTGGCTTCGCGCCGGAGGGCGGGGTCGTGTCCCGTCGAGGTGCGGTTGTCGGGGAGGTTTTCCAGGCCTCGTGCGTGCATGCCCGTGTGCTCTCCTGTGATTTCTGAGGGCGACGGCACGAGGTGTCAGCGCGCCTCGTCGATCTTGATTGTTCCGCCCTCGGCCGGTGGGTTCGGTGCGCAGTTGCGCGACATACATGCGTGTATACACGGGTTCTCTCTTCGGAGGCTCTGGGGCATGCACGGGCGTCAGAAGTGTCAGGCTGCATCTCCTCGCCAGGTAGTCCTTCTTGAACGCTTCGAAGTCCCAGCCGGTCGCCTCGTGGTTCGGTGCGCTGAGGCCGTTGAGGTTTCGGGCGGGGTCGGGCCGTCTGCGCGTGTCGCATGCGATCCCGCCTGATCGTCGTCGTCTGTCATGTCGGCCCACCGTCGGCTGCTTTCGGGCTGCATGATGGCTTCACCTGCAGGGGCGGGGGGGGGGGGGGCGAACCGTGACTGCTCTTTCTCTCTTACTGTCGGAAGCAGCTTCGGCCTAGATGGTTCTTCAGGAAGCGGATTTCTGCTTTGGAGGCTCGATCACGAATTGGGCTGCGGTGCCGGGTTAAGGTTGGTGTGCTCTTGCTGCACGCACGATGTCAGCGTCGTTGGCTTGCTGCTTGCAGCCGAATCCTCTTTTTCCTTCTGCTGCTTTAGCTGCCAGTCGCGATGCTCTTTCGCAGCCGGCGCACGGCAGAGGTTGTGTGAAACGAACGACTCTTTCCCAGCTCTGTGCTGTCAGCATGTCTCACATGTCATGGGAAAGGACCAACGTGAGCAGTGGCCCGTCTGACGTCTTGCGCATTGCTTGGTTGCGAGTCCGCAGGCGGCCCCGGGCTGAGGAGCCTTGTCGGGTTCGCCGCTCGGGTATGCGCCCCGGTCAGCGGAGATGTCGTGTGCGCTGTGGGCGTGGTCGCTTCGCCTCTGGCCGCTAGTATGCATTCTATTATCGTTGCTGGTGCCTTGTGCAGCGCAGCTCGGTCCAGGGCGGCAAGCTCGTCGAAGGTGAGATTCGGATCGGCCTTGGCGTGGAGGAGTGCTTGGGTGGCGGCGACGGAGCCGCTTCTGACTGCGAGGTTTAAGGCTGTGCACTGACTCTCGGCATTGGTTACGAGACAGGACTCACCTTCCAGGAGGTGTCGGCCGACGCGTGCATTTGCTGGGCATCGCATTTCTAGTAGCCAGCACACGTTGCGGGCGTTGCCTGTGCAAGCTGCACTGCACAGGCTTGCGGTGAGGACCTGCATTCCGGGGGTGCTGTCGCTTACATATTCTAAGGGGATGGCACTTTTGTTCGCTGCCGCTCGCGCGACTTGCTGCATGCACTCCGGGTCTGAGTGAGCTGCTGCTGCGCAGGCTAGGGCCACGAGGGTTGCTAGGCTTCGAGGGTTGGCTCCGTAGGACCAGTCTGGGTGGCTTGGGTTTTGGGCCCAGCTGGTCGGGTCCTCGAGCATTCGCGTGGGATCGGCTCGGGCTGCCAGCAGCATCGTGATCTTGCCTGGATGTGGACGGCCCTGTAGCAGGTTTTCGGGGTGGTCGTGGCATGCTATGTCCAGGGGCCGCCAGGGATCCGCGGAGCCGCCCAGGTCGGCCCGGTGCTTTAGGAGCGTCTCCACGTGGCTGCTTGGCGCATATCTCACGGCGAGGGCCAGCACGTCTTTGTTTTCGGGTCGGTCCAGTTTTGCTTTGGCTTCCAGCAACGTTCGTAGGGCAGGCAGCGACCAGGGTCTGTTCTGGTTCAGCATGAGAAGTTCCAGTCCCGAAGTCGGCGTCGGGTAGAATTGCTGGAAGACGGTGTTGGGGTCCAGTGGCCGCCAAAGTATTTTTTTCAGCTTCGAGGTGTTTCTGTTCCACAGGGCCAAGCGGAAGTCTTCCGACTCCCTCGAGCCGTCGTGTATCTGGACGTAGGGCAGGAAGACGGCCTGCACGGTTGATGTGGCATCGATGCGTAGTCTCCCGCCCTGCAGCCTTCGTCCGGCGTGCAGTAGCCTTATGGTCTGCTTCGGTGCCGGCGTGGCGCAGCAGTACTCCCCTACGTACGTCGCCAGCTTCCTTGCTGTCCGATGCCGCCGTGCGTCTGTTTCGCCCAGGAGTTCTCCACTCAGCATGGTGATGCGCAAAGGCCCTGGCGACGATGCTTTCTTCAGTGTTCGTCGTGCAAACGGCCCCGGTCTGGGAGTCTTCGTCCTCGCAGCATCGGCCATGGCGTGTCCGGGGTGCTCTGCGGTTGTAGGCACCCGCGTGCTTTAGGGTGACCGGCCCTCCGTACGTTTGTGGGACATGCTCGCTACAGGTGCTGCTATGCGTGTGAGTACATCGTTCCTGTGGCTTTGCCGTCGTGCCGGGTTGCTTGTCGTTGAGCTGTGAGCCTGTTGCCGCCTTGCTGACTTGCTGCTGGCGAATGGTGGCCGCGGCCCGAGGTGTCCGGTCGCGCTCTTGCCTGGGCCGGCTGACATATGACTGCGAGCAGGCCTGCGTGTGTCTGGTCGTGCAGCGGCTCCAAGTCTGGCTTGTGCGGTTCGGCGAGTGCTTTGGCGCCTATGCTGGGCATGACCGTGCGCCTGCTGCCGGCTCTCTCCTTTTTTTGCCTTGCTGCGGCTCTTCTGGTCTCCGGGGGTGCTGTACATCGTGCGCTTGCCGCTCGGTCCCCTAGTGTAGCTGGTGCTCGAGACGCTGGTGCTCGGCCGGCCTGTGCACACGGCACCTACTGCCTTTCACTTACGTCTACGAGTCGATGCACGTGGCCCGGGCTTGGGGCTCGGCGGCCTTTTCGGTTTCCGGCGGCTGGCTTCCTTCCAGTGGACGACAACTTCCACGTGTGCCATCTGGGCGGTGATGCTGTGCTCGAGGATGTTGCTCCAGCTCCAGTCGTCTGTGATCACGTTCCCGTCTAACATCAGCTTGGTGGCATGCAGGTCGATCGGCCCGGTGCTGCTGCTGTCCAGGTCGTGGAGCAGGACTTCTCGGGGGCTGCGATGCCGTAGCACCTCTGCGGGCGGGGGCTTGTTGGTGTGCTGCCGTATTGTGCGCAGCTCCGGGAGGGATAGAAACCGGTCCCGATGGTTTCCTGGTTGCAAGGGGGCCTGCTCGCGAAAACGGTAGCTTGGGTAGGGTCTCGAGGTGTGGAGTTCACCGCCTTTTGCGTCCGTGTAGGTCACCGTCATGTTCGGCATGATTGCGTCCTCGAAGCTCTGGATGTCTTCGTCGGTCTGTCTCTGCATCTTCTTGCGGCTGCTCTCCATTTCCGAGTTCTCGTAGTCGTCCGTGAAGCACACCTGGTCGGAGTCGCGGGTGGAGGGGTTCGAGGAGGGGGATTCCTCGTCCATGTCGTCGGACATCCTGGTCGTGGCGGTCGGCCTCAGGAGCACCGGTTGCTGGACGCCCGCCGCGTTTCATCTGCGGCGACGTGCGCGTGCTGAGGTCTGCGCGGGAGCACGGGCGAGCGCAACCGTTCGAGAGAAGATGCTGCGGCGGCCGCGTGCGAGGAGATGCTGTTGGGGCGGGATGTGTTGGGCATTCGTGCAAGGCTACCTCGCTGGCATGCTAGCCGGGTCTGTTTGGGGTTCGACCTGTGCGCTGTTTTCCTTCTGCCATCCCTCGCCATGGTCTTTGCAGCGAATCGTGCCCGCTGGCTCGTGCGGGTCCGTGTTCTGCCTGGGCGGGTGCCCTGCATGCCGATCCAGCCCGTCCCGCAGCTTGCTAGCCAGCCAGCCAGCCAGCCAGCCAGCCAGGCACGGTTTTTTCGGTGTCGCATGTAGGCTCTCCGTTCAGTCTGTCCCCCACGGTCTCGGCCGCGACCTGTGCTGCTTTTGCTTGTCTGCAAAAGCGATCGGCCTCCTGGTGTCGTGTCTGCTTTGGAGCTGCTATTGTACCGCATGGGCGATGCTGATGGCCGGTGTCGGCGCTGAGGAGCTGTGCTCGCGGTCGGTCTGGGCGGTCGGTGTGAGTTTCGCCGCTTCCTTGTTTGCCTGGTTGCGGCGCCATAGTTGTTGGTCTGCAAGTGCTTCCTGCATGTTTCTTCTGCCTGCGTTCCCGAGTGCTCTCTGGAAAAGGAGCTTTGCTGTTGATGTGGGCATCGCGTCCGGGTTTCCCGGCTCCGCTAGCAGCGGGTTGCAGCGGGCCTGGAGGAGCATCATCACGTTTGTCGTATGACCTCCCCATGCGGCCAGGGCGAGCGGTCTGCGTCGGTTGGCGTTCGGGGCTTCCATGTCGGCCCTGGCATTCAAGAGCTTGCGTACTATCGCGGTACTGCTCTTGCGTGCTGCTGCTGCGAGGGCCGTTGTACCATTGCGGTTGCGCGTTTCCAAGTGGCAGCGGGCTGCGATCAAGAGCTCCACTGTCCCTTCTTGTTGTCGCTGTGCTGCCTGCAGCAGCAGGCCGTGGTCTTCGTCCGTGTTGGCGTTGACCCGAGCTTCGAGCAGGAGTTTCATGTTTTCCGTGCGATTTGCTTTGGTTGCGGCTTGCAGGGGCGTCGTCGTGGGGAACGTCTTGATGCAGTTCGGGTCCAGCGGGCGGCTCAGGAGTTGCTCTAGCCTGAACGTGTTGGAGCTTCGTGCGGCCGCGATCATTTCTGCCGTGGTTTTGTGGTCGGCCTGGGTGTACTGTAGTTTGATCATCTGCAGGTCGGCGGGGGCGGATATGAGAGCCTCGTCGTCCAGGGGACCGTCTGGCCCCAGCAGTTTCTGCCGAAAGCGTGGGAGTCCTGTCTCTCTCTGTAGCCGGCCTTTGACCACTCGCGCTTGTTCCGGCGCCTCGAGCGTGGCTTCCAGCAGTTGTTGACCGGCAAGATTGACCACGCGTAGGAGAAGGAGCTCCTGGCTTTTCCGCTTCGTGGAGCCTACGCTTGCGTCCTCTGAGGGCTGCAAGGCCATGGCCGCCGATCGCTTCCGCTCGGATTCGAGCCCTGTTGCTTGCGGCATTGTTTGGGGCGTCGAGGGCTCTTGGTGTGCCTGTCCGCCAGCTCTTCGTCGTGCGGTTCGTGCTCGCCTCCGTCCTATCTTTCTTGCATGCGGTGCTCCTGTGACCACGCTCGCACTTTTTCCCTCCTTTTGGCGCCCGAGGCTTGCGAGTGTCCGGCACTAGTCTGTGTGTTCGTCCCGCACGTTGTCGTGCACCCTGCTTCTGTCCTTTACGAGGTCTGCGATCTCCTTGTCTAGTAGCTCGACCTGCTGCACCCACGGTTCCTGGCCGTTGTCGGGGTGCGTTCCAACGATGTACATCTCTGTCACGATCTTCCGGTAGTGCCTCTGCAGGATCCATCGGTACATGTTGATCTGCAGGTGGTAGTGGGTGAGGCTGCTGTCGCCCAGGTGCTGCAGAGGGGGTTTCATGTAGCGGTTGAAGTGCTCTCCTCGGCTTGCTATTCTGCTGCTCCGCTTCCA